TGGCCCCTAACCATCAGCGCACAACTAGGCCACACAGAAAGAATAAATCATTTAATGTAATGTGACGTCTTACTAAGAAAACCAGGACATGTCTAAAATTATTTAGCATCATGGAGAGTTTGGTTTAACTTTTTCTATTTTTAGCTGTCACCCCTTGATTGTTTGTGAAGAAATTGCCACAATTAACCAATCTATGGTCCAAAAAAGTTGGGGACCCTTGCTTTACAGTGCAGCAGTGTCATGTTTTACATTATTTGCATAATAGGGTTAGCATCAGACTTTATAGAATGGCTTATTTACAGATGTTTAGCCAAAAGATTACGATTTACCCTGCTGAAATTTCAATTATATTGTTGGGGAAAGTAAATACTTGGTTATTCGCATTTAATGCTTGAAAAGGTCAAAATCAATTTCTCAACAAATAAAAGTATTTTTTCACTGGGTTTAAAAAAGTATTTCTTGATGATGAACTGCCCTCCTCTCAATTCTGTCACAGATCGCAGTCGCTCTGAGGTGGACCTCAGTAATCCTGGTGAGGGATTCAGCGAAGATTCTTCGCTTGGTCGATGTCGCTCAGTGCCTGGACTGAACGATGAGGTAGATTTCAGCCACAGGCTCCTAAACCACTTTGAAACCTGTTATCAATTCTTTCCTGTGTACCAGATATAATTTCCAGACAGGGAGCTAAAATGGTAAGAGACAGCTAGGAGTAATGTGATTAAATTGCTGTCGGATGAAGTGAAGTGATGGCATAAAGGAAACTATTGCTGTTATGTGTGTAATGTTCTCAAAAGGCTGTATTTGTGCTCTAGGACTCAGATGAGGACATTGATGCGGTGTTATCTGCACACTACAAAACCAACCGGAGCATCAGCAGTGCGCAATCAATGGTATAATGATTTACACACACACACAAATGCAGACACGAGGTAATCACAGGTGCTTTGCTGCAGTGTGTCTCTGATGGTTGCGGAGATGTCTGCCTCAAACTAATTACGTTATTTTGCACGCTTTGCTTTTTCTGTGTGTCTTGAATATTTAGACTTTCCGTGTGGCAGGGGATTCAGACAGCAAACCATTTTCTGGTGCATAAATTCATTTTTTTGTGGAAAAAAGATGGCTATTATTAGGTTTAGGATTTTAAAGTATTAGTGTGAATTGTGAGTAAATTTAAGACTGACAACATTATTAGCCCCTTGTGAAATTGCTCTTATTTTATATTTCCCAAGTGTTGCTTATCAGAACAAGGGGGTGTTTTGACAATATTTACTCGATTCACAGGTTTATTGTAGTTGTTTAAATTATACAATTTTGAAAAAAACAATAAACAATCTGCAAAGGTTAATATTATTAGCCCCCTCAAGAAATTATTGCTTTAGTTTTAGTACAAACCACTGCTGCAGTGGCTTGCCATTTTAAACTACCTTTTACGACTAACGTAATAACTTTTAAAGGCTTTTAAATTGCACTTTAAGCTGAGGATTAGTGTCTTGTAAAAATGTAAAATGCGCTGTCATCATGACAAAGACAAATGATTTTAGTATGTTAATCTTCTTAAAGCTGTGTTAAGAACTGCAGTGAGAAGCATTATGAAGAAGTTTAAAGAGGCCGACACAGTGAAGAATAAGATGGGCAGAGGCAGGAAGAGGAAGTTTTCAAAAACATAGAAAACTAGTAATATAGGTTTCTAAAGATCCAAGAACAACTGCCAAGACACTAGTAAATGACTTCCAGTCAAATCCGAAATTGATGTCTCAATGAAATATACTGAAATGATGCTGACCAAGAAAGACTCCACTTCTGAAGCCACCTCCAATGAAGTTAAGGACAACATGCTGCAGATTGGAAATGTGTTATTTGGTCAGATGAGACAAAACTAGATGTTGTCTATCTCTAAAGGATGGAGAGGCATCCAACCCCATGGTGCGGGAAACATGGTGGTGGGAGTGTAATGGTGTGGGGATGTTTCAGTGGGCTTGAGTCTTGTTGAGAACCAAAGTAAATGACCAAACGTTAACAAGAAAAATGGATTAACATTAGAGGAGATCATGTTGACTGGTGTGTGTATATATGTGTGTGTGTGTGTGTGCGTGAGTGAGTATGTATGTATTCAACTGTATAGAATAGAATAGAATGCCTTTATCGTCACTTTTCACATGTACAATCTACATTATACATATGTGCAGATGAGAGCTAATCGCTGTGAAAAGAATGTGAAAAGAAATATAAAAACTGTGTAAGGAAATATAAAATATATTAAAAAAACCATAGAAAATATATAAAAATGGAGAACTCCACTACAGAGTCTTCTTTACTTGACACCTTGATGGGACGGAAGTCTAACAAAAAGAACCCTGAGGTACCAAAGGTAGAGTTAGCTGAGAAATATATTGACTTTTCCTCAGTTTTAACAGAGGGGTAATGCACTCCTGCTATTGTCCATGATAGAAGAGATATATTACTCATAATGAGATGTTCTTCTGTCCTGCAGAGAGAAAGAGGAAGAAAGAGAAAAGAGAGAGCCTGGAAACAAGCACCAGCAAATCTTTACAAAACCCACTTCAATTAAGAATCAGATTAGATGAACTGTATATGAGTTTTAAAGTTAATATGTAACATTTGTTGAAATTCTAAACTTCTTATTTGTTTTAACTTTTATCTTGCAAATGGGATTGCCTTTGCAGCTTTAACTTTATCCTTTACTCAATAAAATCTTGTTGTCACACTTTATTGACATAATACAGTTTTTCTTGCTCCTGGATATTAGAATTTTTTTTTTCCTCCAGGAAAAATATCACATAACATGATCTGTTTACTCACCTGGCAGACCCACACGTGAAGAATACACACAGTTTAGCACAGAGAACCCATGCAAGCACTTCTTGAAAGTTCATCAATATGTTCCCTGCATCTCACACTAAGAGTTGCAGGTGGTATATTTTCAAACAACAAAGAGTGCTAATTCAAGCAAACAAGAAGACAAGTGGCCTCTCTCGAACTAATACTGTAGCTCACACATAGCTTCTAAAAGCTGGATGAGTCAGATGTGTGGAGTGCTGAATGAATGAAAGGAAACATGAGAAAGACAAGCTTTTAGTCTGGACCAATTAAATGTTTACACACTACATCACCACCAGGGCCTTCATGTATTGGTGTTTCATATTCCTGCAAACCTAGTAAACGTCAGATTTCATATTCGGATTTACCATCAGGGAAATGAACATGGAATGTGCAATACTACAGTACAGCGTTCATTTCTGTTGATTTTTGCCATGCTACTATATAGCACCATTTTTACTTCATTAGCAGCGCTTCCATCCACTTAATTTTATGTGCATTTTGGAATATTGCATATAAAACCTCAGGCGGATACACCGAGATGCGCATCAATTTTGACAGTGTGCATAAAAACCTTATGCACAACTGAGTAGCAAACTTATTCGTTAAGAAACCATGATGGAAACACAATGGGAATGTGTTTTTGTTTGAAGTGGGATGCAATAGGGTGGCATTTATGGACTTACCAATGGACCGATTTCATTGCACATCTGAAATGCATTTATTTCTTGAATTTGGTGTGTTCTTGATGTTTGTTTTTTATTCAAGTGTATGTAAATGAGACCAGAGACAGGGTGGGGTGATCTGATTTTGTGTGTTCAAAATTAATGCTATGTAAGAGAATCTGCTTGGGATCCTACACAAGCAGATTGGAATATTTAAATTTTTAGTACATTTCCAGTACATACGCTATGTTTTACTAAATTTAGTCAACTCTGCACTTCTTGGCCAGAAGGTCCCAGATTTAAGCCCCACTACTTGATGCCATGTGTGTTCCACTTGAATACTCTTCCTGTATTAGGTGGAAAAAAATTTGACCCGGTCTACTTTTTGCCAGTTGATTGGCTGATTAGCAATTAGTGTTATTGAGCAGTTGGACAGGTGAACCTAATAAAGTGGCCAGTTTGTGTACCTTGTAGCTATATAATTACATTGTGCTCTACATTTTTTTAAATTCTGGTTTCTTAATCCATAACTTGTCTACCAATTAAATTTCAACCAAACTATATGTTGATGCCAAAAAAAGTAAACATTCTCACTTAATTTAACGACTAAAGTGTTTATAGTACCATGCGGGTGAGTGTAGATGACTGTGGTAATTTTTGGCCTGTCACTTCAAACATCTCCAAATAACCAGATGTGAAAGTTTCTTCTGGGTTCCGAAGAGCTGTCTGCTGTAATGTTGTCTGGTTTTCTTTCGCTACTTCTCTCCTGGCTATTCTTCACACTGTCAATCTTCCTTCTTCCTGTCTTCTTTCAGTCTTCCACACCAGCCTCGGAGAGAAAATGGGCTTTCCTTAATGTCCCTGACTCTGATGCTGACACTGTGAGTCTCCATCGTGAGCCTTTGACTATAAATGTGTGTGTGTCTATGTGTATGTTGCATCAGTGTCACTCTCTTAAGTTTCTGTTTGACTATAGAAATGTACCCCCCCCCACACACACACACACTTCCTTCACCTCCAGTGCGCATACTTGTGTGTAGTCTTTAAGAGGACAGTGTGTTAACGATTGAGGTTTACAGGGACACCACTTTCTTCCTTTTGTCAATAAAAAACAGATGGAATATGTAGAACAAATGTGTGTTTGTGTTCTACAGACAAGCATCAACAGCCTCATGAGTGTGTACAGTGAGACAGGCGACTATGGTAGTGTGCGGGTTTCCGGGGAGATCCTGCTCAATGTCTCGTACAGCTATAAAACAGGGGCACTCAACGTGCTCGTCCGTGAGTGCCGCTGCCTAGCAACCGGGGATGAGAGAAGACAGCGCACGGATGCGTGAGGCCACACACAAACACATGCACACACACGCACACACACACTGCTGAGAACTGCACTGCATTGATATGGATCTGCATTAACATTACATTTATCCTCTTTATATTTGTTTGAATGAAAAAATATATATATATATATATATATAAATTAAAATGCTGTAGAGAGCCCAGATAGCTCAGTCGGTAGAGCATCCCTGTTTGGGTTTCAGTCGGGTTTCAAGTCCCTGTTTGGGCGGGCATAAAAAAATTGATTTGGAGTGTCATCAGCCCTGGAGCCCTCATCTTCCTTGGACACAGGTTCTGTTACACAAGAGAGACTTCTTCCCAGGATTTTGTTTATGTATTAGTGTGTGCCCGGGCTTCTGGGGTGCTCTTCCCGCATTCATCTACAATGGCCTTGTGTCCATTGCACTTTATTTTCTGCTAGTTATACCAAACTATGGCAATCAATCATCAATATCGCATCTATGCTAAAACACAGTCATGTACTGAAACAGAAACTGGTACCATGTTGACATTGAGAAAGATTAAGCACAGCAACAGGACACTAGGTAGTTATGCTGCATCAACAAGGTCTCACCCGGACAAACATTTCAAAGAATTTTCAGACTTTTCTAGTAATAATAATAACAAAACGTTGTTTATTTTTATATAGGACATTTCATAGACTTTACAAATGTAATTAAAAGCATGGCAATTTGCAAACAAGCAATGTAAAACATAAAAGCACTAATGGAGACAAATAGGTACATAGTAATTTACTTTTTTATCCCTGTCCTAAGAACTGTTGTGGAAGAAACAAATGTAATTATTGAATAAGCATTTAAACATGAGTCAATAATAACTTTTCCTGGTGATTTCAGCTATGTTAAAACATATCTTCTGCCTGACAAGTCCCGTCAAAGCAAGCGGAAAACTAGCATCAAAATTAACAGCACCAACCCAATTTTCAACGAAAACCTGAGGGTAACTTCAGCTTCCTGCTCTGCTCCCAGGTTGATGAACTATTGATTACAAACCCTTTATTTCTCTCGATCTCTCACTCTGTGCAGTATGTTGTCAGTCACTCTCAGCTAGAGACACGCACTCTACAAGTCTCTGTATGGCACCATGATCGCTTCGGCCACAACAACTTCTTGGGGGAGACGGAGCTGACTTTTGACTCCTGGGAGTTTGATACGCAGATAGAGGAGTGGTTCGCTCTACAACCAAGGGTGAGCTTTACACACAGAGAGAAAGCAAAGTGTGTAGATATGCATGAGTTTTACACTCCATTGTGTGTTTCTGTCAGAGCGAGTCTTATGTGGACTCAGTGATGCACTATAAAGGGGAACTGACGGTGGTTTTGAAGTACATTCCTGCAGAGAAAAGTGCTTCCTTGCCTCTGGACCAAGTACAAGGTAACATTTAAAAAGAGATAGATCGTGGCCTTTCTGAAAAGTTCTTCAACATACAGTTTGACTAAGAGCCTACCTTGGCTGTTAATCCCAAAATTTTGTTTGTTACCCAAGCATTTTTTGCAATATCAATCAGAATAAAGGGTTTTCCAGATGATTACGCCTAGCTGTCTTTTTGTTTAACCAGTGAAGAAGGGCTTTCTTAGAGGGAAGAAAAAAACCATTACACTCCCTAAAGGAGGAATGGTCGAGCTGCTGGTCAAAGAAGCTAAAAACCTCACGGCTGTTAAAGGAGGCTCCTCGGACCCCTTCGTCAAAGGGTGAGCTGATTTCCTCTCCTTTCACCACCAAAAATCACACTACTGACTCACGCTCTTTGAAAACCAGGTATCTGCTGCCAGATGATAAGAAGAGCACCAAGCACAAGACTGCAGTGGTGAAGCGCAGTGTGAACCCCCGCTGGAACCACACCTTCACCTACTGCGGCCTGCAGCACAGCGACCTGGACAGTGTGTGTTTGGAACTTACCGTCTGGGATCGAGAGCCACTGGTCAGCAATGTATTCCTGGGTGGTGTACGACTCGGGGCTGGCACAGGTCAGACTCTTTTTAGATTTCTTTTTGAGTCCTTAATGAGTGGAGTGTTCTCTGTCCCTTGTTTCCTCCTGGTTCTTTACATCCACAGTCCAAAAATATTCTTCAGGTGACTCTAAATTACCCTATGAGTGAATGTGAGAATAAATAATCGAGGTTATAATCATTGCCCTGCGATAGATTAGTGACCTGTCCAGGTTGTACCAGCATAACCATGCAACCCAAACCAAACATAAGATGATAAAGATAATGGATCGGTAGTCCATGTTTTGTTTTCCACACGTAGAAAACGATAAGTTAATGCACTGTTGAACGAGTCACCCATAGAACTCTAAGTAAATGAAGTGAATTAAAAACATTCAAGTTTGAGTTGACTTAGAGCTCTTATCTGAAGTCAATTTGTTGCAAAATAATTAAATTAATAAAAATAAAGATGTTCTTTGTAAGTTTGGCTAAATATTTCTCTTCCAGCGTTTCTTTTCTTAAAGTTTTGTTCTAGTTATATTTAATGTTTGTATACCTTTAATGTGCTGTGAAATGGTATGGCCAAATACTCGGCAACACATTTTGTGTCATTGCAAAACTATATATGACTTTTGTTTAGCATTATATCCGAGGGGCATTTGTCAAAAACAGCATTTTCAATTTTATTTGTAATTATATCAGTAAGCATTTTGTATGACTCTTTTTTTTTTACTTTAAAATAAACATTTTTACTTTCAAATTGGACTATTTCAATTCAATCTTACTCCAGTTAGCTATTTCCTTTTAAGTAATACTTTAAGATAAGTTATATACTTTAAATAATACTAAAACAATTAATTTTCTATAATGGCAAACCTGTTTCGTTCACTGTGCTGGTCAGAGATAAGCCAAAGACTGAGGATCTTACAAGCAGAACTGTTTGTGGCCTGCAGGGCTGAGTTATGGGAAGGAGGTGGACTGGAACGATGCCTATGGCGAGGAGCAGCGTCTTTGGCAACGGATGATTGACAATCCTGAAGTCCCGCAAGAGTGCACACTAATGCTGAGATCCAGCATGGCCAAGAGAAAGACCTAGACATGGCAATACTCATCTATCTCATCTCCTGTAGCCACTTTCAAGTGCTCTTTATTTTCTTTGTAAGTACTCAAGACCAACTAGAATCTTATTCCAAAGTGCATACGACTGCACATAATGAGCCTCTAAGGTCCCATCTTCTCCTGGTGTTAGTCAACATGTAAGTTAGTAATAAAAAGTTCAGTATTGAATTCAAGGAGATGTGAAGAGTGGATCAAATTAAATTATCCTCACAGTTTCTAGACATTTTTTTTTAGAATTACACAGAGCCTGGTTGTGATTTTTCCCTTCGTTTTTTAGAGCATGTATTTTATCTATGTTTTTTTATACATTTTTAGGGAAACAGGTGTTTTTGACTGCCATAAAGCTGGCACATGTCATTATATTGTAGCCCCCCTTGACACATGGCCCAGAATCACAACATTTTTAACTTAAAAAAACTTAAACCAACTCAAACCCCTCTGAATAATTCTGTCACCCTGAGAATTTTTTGTTTGTTCAATGCACAAGATTCTCTGGAGTTACAAAACATTTAATCGCTAATACATTGTGCCAACAAGATGAATTTTATGCTTTCAACTCACTAGATGCCATTAGCCTTAGTATGCAAGATTGTTTGTGTGTTCGCCAGCCACACATTCAAGCTCAAACATCAATGCACTACATTCCAAACCAGATGTTTACATTTTAAAACCTCCTTAAAATCATTCTAACAATCATGGAGTAATTGGCTGTGTTTCCATCTACCTATTTTTTATAAATATTTTGGACTATTGCATAAAAAAACCATCGAATTAAACGTCCATAAATAAAAAAATTGCTTAAAAAAACCAACAGAACAATTTCATTGCACAACAAATGTGGTTTTGGTCATTCCTAAAGTGGTTCAAGACTAGCTTATTTCATTTCGTCCACGTGTTCTAAGACGCAAGTAATACTCCAAAAAAGGTTTTGTTTATGAGGAAGTTGTTCTCTTGGACGCGTTGGATTTAAACTTTGTTTGCAAACATTTTATGCAACATTCCAGTTCTGCACACGATTTTAATTTGCATCTTTGGATGGAGACATAGCTATTAAAATAAAGCACAATGAATACAACTCATATGGCTAAAACATCCTGTAAACACAAAGCACAAACACAATTGATTCAATCAGATCATAGATATTACAACTTCATCAAAACAAATGTGACGTGTCATTTAAATCATATGCAGATACAAACAACATTTTGTAAATGTCATAATAATCACTGTGATCAAATGTTCAAGACACTCCATTGTGATTCCATCGTAAAACAAAGTTAGAAAAAAAAGCTACGAGGAAAACAGGGTTTATCATAAAGATTTATTTACCTTCTCTTGAGGTAATTGTTTTCTTAACCTTTGGAAACTTTTCAGCTGTTTCCTAGCTCCTGCGAACACTTTTTGCATAGCATAGATCCTCGAATCTAATTACACAAATATCTCAGTATCAAATGATCAAAGTGTTTCCATATTATTAGCATATTTTTAATATTTAAAATTCTACTCTTTTAGTGGTGCTTCAAGTTTTTTAACCAGCAGTAATTCAAATGTAACAAATGAAATTCAAAGATATTTTGTAGGCTGATATTGTTCGGTCCTATTTTGCATTCCATCCTGGTAATCATCGATTGCCAGCCACACATCAAAAACAACATAGAAATCCTTACAACACCCAACATTTCTTTATTCTTTATTTTTTAAATCATTGAATTATGCACCCAATTTTAAGCACTTTTCTTCCCTCAAAAGCATTAATTGCAGTGTCCAACACTTCCAGAGCTACTTATAACACATTCTGTCAGTTATTGCTCTCCATGGGAAACACTAATGACCTCTGGTGTTGCAAGCCTCATGCTCTACTGACTGTTCCACAGGAGAGCTGTAGAAAACACCAGCAACAATCACTAAAGAACGACACTTTGCTTCTCTTTCTGAACCAAAAACAGTGAAATCAACTTGGTCATTTCCGCCATTACCACATGTCGCATATGCACAACTCCTAATCCCGCTAACTGACTTTTAAATATAGTTACATCCTTCAAGGGGCTATCTTGAATTTATTATAAGGTGTCAAATAAATTCTAGAAATCATGTGGCATGTTTTTGACATCCAAGTGTTGCCATGTCCAGCATCATCTGAAGCTGTTTGATTCACAGCATGT